GGGGGGGGGGGGAAGGGATGCAGATATTCCTTTGTATTCACGCTTTAGAACGTAAGTACAGCCTTGGCCAAAGATATTAGGTATTTATTTAGGAAACAAAGGATAATTTACAGGAAAATGCCGTAAATCAATTTTTCAGTTAAAACTGTACATAATGCTTAATAACGTGTCTGATATTTTTGGTCAAGACTGTATTAGAATATATAAAATAAACGTTGGAAATTATTTTTTACTGTCTAATGAATAATTTATGTGTAATATAAATGATTCAAATATTTGTAACTTTTATTTATTTACTCAAAAGTGTAAAATTATTGAACAAAAAATATTCCACATTTCGGCTATCCACAGGTCAAAGTGATGAACTCCATTTCGAATTTTTTTTAAATTTTATTGTCAAAACACTTCATTGATGCTTTGACACTAAAATTTTAAAAAATTCGAGGTGGGGTTCATCACTGTGACCTGTGAATTGCTCATTTGGCCACTTTATTGACCGAGTAGGAGAATCCTGCAATTTAGTTCTCAAAATTATGTCTATTCACCCAGATGGCGCAGAAATAGGACTTTATTTTTTTCAATAGCATGTTCAATTGCCCATACCCTGTATGTGTGTGCAATCCAAATATTCAAGATGGCATCTGCGGAACAGGTCGGCCTCAACAAAACATGGGAATTATCGCTTTACGAATTACATCGCACTCCGCAAGACGCGATCACCGACAGCACAGAGATTGCGGTCAGTCCGCGGAGTTTGCACAGCGAGCTCATGTGCCCCATTTGCTTGGATATGCTGAAGAAGACTATGACCACCAAGGAGTGCCTCCACCGTTTTTGTTCCGACTGTATTATCACGGCTTTACGGAGCGGTAACAAAGTATGTGCTTGACATAATACAACAAACTTATATCTACAATGTTTGCGGATAATACTAGCCCATATTTTTTCTACGAGAAGACAATGTTATTTACCTGTCAATTCGTGTATATATGTACAATATAGTACGTGTATGCAATCTGCCATTCACTTTTTGTTTATTTGGAAAGCAATACTTTCGATGCAACTGTATTTTATTTATCTATAAGGTTAATATTTTATTTATCGTAGCATGAAAAACTACTTTTTACTCACATTGATTGGCTACAAAATAAAGATTTTTAGAAATCCAAGAACATGTGTATCCAGTGATTATCCTATAATCACATACACAATCACTTATTTGAAAAACTTTGTCGTATGATAAATGAAATATTAATTAGTCTGAACCCTGAACATGTAACAAAATTATATATACTTGCTGCAAGAATTTTATATATCTTTAATAAAAATAAATACTATTTTTCTACAAGTAGTAGTATTTTATATTGAAATACAAGGAATTTGTTTGTGTTATGTATAATGAAATGTTTTGTACTTTTGTATTGTTACAGGAATGCCCTACATGCAGGAAGAAATTGGTTTCTAAAAGATCTCTCAGACCGGATCCAAACTTTGATTTGCTAATTTCAAAAATCTATCCTAGCAGAGATGAATATGAGGCTCATCAGGAACGAGTTTTGGCTAAACTGAATAAGTCACATTCACAAGCTGCACTTGTTAACTCTATTACAGAAGGTATTAAGTTACAAAGTCAGAATCGTCCACAGCGTTCCAGAAAGAATGCCAACGAATCTGAAAATGCAAGCAATGCAACGTCTTATAACAATACACCAAATATTAGTGCACCAACAACACCAAATCCATCTACAAATGTAGCAAATCAAAGTGATTCCTCTCAAAGTGCGACAGGACCTTTAAATAGTGGAGGTATGATTAATTTTATGAATACCAATATTGTTTTTTAATTTAGAAATAACTGCAATTTCTACTGAGTTTACAACAGCTCGTATAAACTTGTAATTTTTATTACATCAGTTATTTTTATGTACATTTATCTAGGAACAACATCTAGAAACTCTACCACACCATCGCCAAATCCTGCAAATCAAATCTCAAAACCATCAAAACGGCAGAAAAGTCTACAAAATTCTGAGAATGATTCCTCTAGTGCAGAAGCCGAGACTGGCGGTGGTGATTCTATGGTTGATACAGAAGGTGAAGGTCCTAGCGAACCATTGATGCTTAACGAAATTGAACTTGTCTTTAAACCACACCCTACAGAAATGGCAGGTGATAATTCTTTAATAAAAGCATTGAAAGAGAACAGTATTCGCTATATAAAAACAACAGCAAATGCCACAGGTAAGATATCTTTCAAACATGCAATTAAAAGAGAAAAAATTGTTTACTTGAAAAACCTAATAAATATTATAAATATAAATATACATTAAATTATAAAAGGGAAAAACAAACTTTCAGTATGTGATAACAAATTGTTTGTTTTTTTTTTTATAGTGGACCATTTAAGTAAATATCTAGCAATGCGTTTAACGTTGGATTTGGATACTGAACTATCAGAATCAGATAGGTTGTTAAACTTTTGTATCTATATCGCACCTTCACCTGGGCAGCTTGTGGTATTAAGTGGCTCACAAACATTACGACAAGTGAACGATAAATTCTGGCGTGTCAATCGACCTTTGGAAATGTATTACTCATGGAAGAAGACCTAGGGAAGGCCTCAAAAATATCTATCAGATGGGAGCTAATTGCGTCATGTTTTAAAGAAAGGAATGAATTGCCATTCATATTATATGGAATATACAGTAGAATATATCAAATATGAACAATACATATTATTATATTGTACTGTATTCAATTTAATTCAATATTAAGGTAATATTTATAAAATCATCGACAATGGTGCAATTTTTACATCTTTAAAGCTGGTTGCCAGTAATGGTTTCATTAATATAAGAATTGAAAAGGCAACTAAAACTTTATTAAACTGTGTGATTTTAACGACATTGTACATCCCGAATTGCAATTACCATTTCACACTATACACAATAATATCTACAAAAAAGTTTTATAAAAGGTATATATGTTACATTCACATATATTCATACATGTTCCGTCATTTAATGGTTTTAATAATCGTTAATTTATTTAAACGATTTTTAATCACGTGGACCATGCTGTATAGTTTGCAGGAAAAGAATAAATCTATGTAAATACGAATACATACGCATATTTTTGTCTCTACACATAGTTTTAGTCCTATATGTTTCTAAATTCTTTAAACGTTTTTTTTTTTAATCACTCTGTATATTGCACATGCACACATATATGCATAATTTGTATTTGTTTAAATTACGATCAATGACCTAAGAGCGTCATCAGCAGTTCTCTAAAAGAAATTGAATATATATTAAAAATTAACAAGTTATATTTTAAAAACACATTACGTTTACTCTAAAGTGCGTTTATTTAGTCTAATCATTTATTATTTGATTATAGCTTGTGATTGAAACATATACTTTCCACATAATTTTTGATCAGAGTTTTAGATAAAAATCTTCTGAAAATGCCAAGATAACTGTTTCAAAATAAATATTTATGACAAGCTATAATCAATAATTATTAGGCATCATATTAAGTAAATGCACTTTTTAAATAAATATAGTATTTTTTAAAATATAACTTTAATTCTTTAAGATGTTCGGTTTCTTTCAGGAAACTGCTGACAACATTCTTGTATCACCGACTGCATATTCCGACATTTTATGCACGATTAGTTTAAGGCAATATAATATATGAAAATCTTTCAAATATTAACGAACTATCAGCTGTGTATCATGCTGTGTTTGCATTTACATGCAAACTTATTCTTTTGGCGAGTAGATATAATCTACTGAAAATGAAGAAAATTAACGACGACAGGATTAAATGTCAAATAAATATTAACAACTCGTTTTATTGTTTTAAATCGCTATACTTTGTACGATTTATAGTTAAAGTCACAGTTGAACATACTCCTCGAGCTATCGATATAGGATTCGCTTTTTATAAAACAAGCACATCTATCGAACGTGATTCTGGCATACCTATTTGGTAGTTGGATGCTTTCGTTAAAGATACATGGAATTCGTCTTTACGCTAGTAGACGGAATAATCGATAAGTACCACCCTACCGTGCATCTCCCCTTGGATTTTCATTGAAGCGAAAACAATACGTATGCCGGTCTTTTGATAACATCGACCTTTGTTTTTTTTTTTTTTTTTTCAGAAATAAGCTTTACATGATTTTATTTTATTATTATATTAATTTATCCTTTTTATCTTTTCATACTAGAAATATTAATTTCAAGTTACGCAGATTTTCTTTATTTCTTTATATTATATATTATATCTCATTATTACATATCATAAATTTTGTATAAGGACAATGAAAACCGAAAAATCAAATACAATCGTGATTTGCAACATTGAGAATTTCCGGTTGTTTATCACTTAAAACTTAGATTAACTATGTTTTCACGTGTATACCTTTATGATTCTAGACCTAATTAATTATTCCAGCAGCGGGATTCATAATAATCTGACAACGCTTAATTACGACATAACATCATGCAAACTAATGACCACTGCTCTTAATTAGCACGCCAGAATGAATACCGGAATGAATTCTGTCTCGCGACTTTGCTACTTGGGCAATACTCAATAACTGAACCGTTGTAACATTAATTACTATGTTTTTTTAGAAAGAAGGATATATTATTTACGATTATATCAAATGTTGTAACAAATAACGATTCCGAAAGAAGTTTTTTTTCAATTAATCTTGATTGATAAAGTCGAAATCAAATCCTGAAAAAATAAAAAAACAGAAAAAATATACTTTATATTTTTTAATGAATTTTGTATATTTTTTAAAGGAAAGAATACGGAATCTTCAATAAGCCTAAGAAATTTTAAACGATTCCACAAAAAGTAATATGGTTTTATTTGCGCAGATATTTTTTAATTACAGCTATTATAAATCTTTTTATATTAATAAATAGCATATTGACTGAAACAGATTTTTCAAATATTTATTTTAGTTGAGCAATAGGATTTGAGAATATTAATGACAGCTTATGAGGCTCCTTATACCAGAGTGGATAATCCGAAGAACTTTGAGTTCCGTTAGGAATTGAATTTTTAGATAGAAGTTGATTCAATTTAAAGTTGGGTGGTTCTACCGTCTTCTTTAAAAGAACTGATACTTGTCGCATGTAATCTTCCATGTTAGTCACTTTTTCCAATCTGGCAAAGAAAAATTTTCAGTTAAAAAAGTTTTTTCTCGGAATAATTTACACAAATATTTTTTATTATTACTTTTATAGCAGATAGATTTTTTTTTACCTATGCACCATTTGCCTAGTAAACTCTAATCGGTGTGGTTTCTTTATCATCGCTGCTTTTTCTTTTGTAAAATGATTATTGGAATATACTTTTTCTACATCATTCCAAAGACCATAAAAATTTCCAAAATGTATTGCTGCATTTTTAGGTGCTTTTGTGATAAATTGTGGCTGTTCAACCATCATAGATGATTTGTAATTTATGTTTGATACTGATGAAATGGTTGGGGATATACATTTTAACTTCCTGATAGAGCATCTGAAAGAAAAATTAAAAAGTAAATTATAAAATTAAATAAAATTTTATATATTTATAATATGAATAAAATATATTTTAAATTGTGTAATAAAACATTATATGTTATTATTATAAATGATAGTTTTGTTCATACATTTCATTATTTCATCATCATTCATTTATATTACTCACGCAGTGCTATTGACATTTGATGTTGATAAAGAGAGGTTATTAGATTCTATTGCTGTTTCACTGTAATGGTTTCTAGACATTCTTTTACGCGATTTGATTTTGTGTTGCTTGAACATTTTATTAATAAATTATTGGAATATATTAGTAAATTAGAAGTCACTTGGAAATTTCAATAAATTAATGAATATTTTATTGAGATAAATCGTGTTGAAATACGTGCCCCGAGAATTTTTGTTTTGTTTATCAATCATGATCGTATCAGAGATCGTATTTAATAATCTATTTTATAAAAAAAAATATATATAGAGTAAATCGTATACAAGATGTTTCTCAAGTACTATGTCTGATATTTTAAAAGAATTTATTTTTGAGATTTATGAAAGAAAAGATTTATATATTTGTTAAATTTTCATGTATATCATAATAAATGATACTTCAGTCATGTAAAATCTTTGACACTATAATTTCTGATTCTTTCAAACGCTATATTATGTCCTTCAGATTTATAATCTTTAAACTACAACTGATTTTTTGCTGGGTCTCGTAGATTATTATGTATGTTGTTAAATTTTTTTTAAAAGGCTTGAGAGATTTGAAATTCTTATATAAATATACACAACACATATATTTTTTACATATATTCAAAATTGCTTGAAATAAATAAATTTTTTAGGTCCAAATTTAAAAATATATATAAATTTATCTATACAATGTAATTAAAAACGGCGAAATCTATTTGAAATTACACAGTATTTATTTAAACAAAATAAAGTTTACAAGTGAAGGAAGTCACAGCATTGCGACAATCAGTTTTTCAAATGAAACTTCGGCCACCTTCGGTACTTACCGACGTACTTCGTGCGATTCCACTCACGTACTCGTTCTGTCTGGTGTCAGCGAGAGTCCAGTGGATTGGAATCCAGTCGTTGTCGCGCGTTTGTTTCGTTTACATCGGATTTGTGACGATTTAGTGTTTCAGTGCAAATTTTGCAAATATATTAACTGAAATTCACTTTTGCGCAATATCAATACAGTATATCGATATCGTTGTGAGCTTCTTTTGTAAATCGCTGAAAAATATGTGCAAAGAATTTAGGTAAGATTTTCCTTTAATTTAATTTAAAACCGTTACCTTATAAGATTATCTTTTAATACAAAATAAAATTTTTCTTTTTATCTATTTTCTTAAAGTATTATTCAATTTAATTTACTCAAATATTAATACATTTCATGTAGTATATCGCGTGAAGAATTCTGATAAAAGTTACTTGTAAATTATTTTCTTGTTATATGTAATATTTATATATGAAAGCAATTTATAAAGCGGAACAATAATTAATTTAATTATAACTGACGATATTTATCGTCAGCTTGTTTGCTGGATCAGAATAAAATGGGTTTCCTAAAAAGATGACCTTTCCAACTGTATAATTTTATATATTTTATATTATCAATAATATTCTCAGAATTACATTCATTATTGACACTTTGAGTGACGTTCCCCATATTGTACATCGTATACCTCTCTTAAAGCACGTTCCAATCGTAGTCAATGTAAACGTCACGAACACTTCCTGCTACACCTACATTTCATGTATTTATTACTTATTTGTACAAAGGTACTCACGTTTTGATATGTATATATAAAATTTTTGCTCGTTATAGATTTATGCAATCCATAATTTGGAAATCTTTTAAAATATACAGTTTACAATAAAAATCTTTTCGAGTTTTTCCTTTTTCATGAAAACTAAATGTATATGTAAACTCAGGAACAGTTCGTAGCACGGTCAGTCTCTTAATTAATTTTGTTGTCTTAAGGAATTTCATTGAAATTGACAGTGAAACGCACGTGGTATTCGCGCATTGATAGAGTTTGAATCTCAGTAAATAACGCAGGAAAAAACCTAGCACACGTTTACTACTCGCATTTACCAACTATTCGTCCGGAATTTCGGCATTTTGCTGCGATGCGTAGGATATTGGAAAACCATAAACGATGTATGCGTACACGATGAAGTAAGTTTACCCAGACCAGACGCACCTCCAATATCCGATAAATTTTAATACAGTAATAATTCCGACGTATCCCATCGCGCGCAATATTGACTTTCCGCCTCTTTGGCTGGACTCCGCTCGTTCTCTCTCTCTCTCTCTCTCTCTCTCTCTCTCTCTCTCTCTCTCTCTCTCTCTCTCTCCTCACCCCGCTTCCGTCTCGCTTATTCTTGTGTTCATTTCATCATTTTTTCTCTCTTCCTTTTTATCTTTATTGCACCTGGCTCTGCTGCATTCTTTTTCTTTGGGCTTTAGGCAACGAGACTGATGGTTATTTTCACCTTTTATCGTACGATATATCGCCTTAATATAACAAATATATTTATTAAGGGGCGTTAGTTTTTCATCTTACAGGTATATTAACAAAAGTTGAAGAGAGTCATTGCAAATACTTATC